TATAGGTAGGACATATTAAACAGATGCAGGACAGGGTATAGGTAGGACACATTAAACACCTCCAGGACAGGATATAGGTAGGACATATTAAACACCTCCAGGACAGGGCATAGGTAGGACATATTAAACAGATGCAAGACAGGGTATAGGTAGGACATATTAAACAGCTGCAGGACAGGGTATAGGTAGGACACATTAAACACCTCCAGGACAGGGTATAGATAGAACACATTAAACAGATGCAGGACAGGGTATAGGTAGGACATATTAAACAGCTGCAGGACAGGGTATAGGTAGGACACATTAAACACCAGGACAGGGTATAGGTAGGACACATTCAGGACAGATAGAGGACAGGGTATAGGTAGAGCACATTTAACAGAGGCAGGACAGGGTATAGGTAGGACACATTAAATAGCCACATTAAATAGCTATCATAGATTAAATACGAGTTGGAGGTCGTTTCTGAATTATCACGTTTATTTGGGCACTTTGTATTTTTAGGAAGAGAGTCAGTTATATATCTTGGAAGAGAAGGAGCCACAGTTTGGGCCACAGATATCAGGTTCTCTATAACAATCGACCATATTCACCAGTATACAGCATGATAAACGTCGTCTTTGTCTATTTTCCTTTTTAGAAATAAAAGTTTTAGCAAGAAAAATAGTGATTTCTGCTTGTTTCCAAAGATCAATTAAGAGTATCGTTGTACATTAGACAGGCCATTCAATAAATGGAGAGTCTTTACGTACAGTCCATTTGTAGGTAAAAAGGCATTTTGTTATAAATGTTTAATGACAAATTAAAAATTAGGATTGATTTGTTGGAACAATTGAAACAGGAGAATACAACCCTCAATATCAATATCAGGTCAATATCAGGTCAATATCAGGTCAATATCAGGTCAATATCAGGTCAATATCAGGTCAATATCAGGTCAATATCAGGTCAATATCAGGTCAATATCAGGTCAATATCAGGTCAATATCAGGTCAATATCAGGTCAATATCAGGTCAATATCAGGTCAATATCAGGTCAATATCAGGTCAATATCAGGTCAATATCAGGTCAATATCAGGTCAATATCAGGTCAATATCAGGTCAATATCAGGTCAATATCAGGTCAATATCAGGTCAATATCAGGTCAATATCAGGTCAATATCAGGTCAATATCAGGTCAATATCAGGTCAATATCAGGTCAATATCAGGTCAATATCAGGTCAATATCAGGTCAATATCAGGTCAATATCAGGTCAATATCAGGTCAATATCAGGTCAATATCAGGTCAATATCAGGTCAATATCAGGTCAATATCAGGTCAATATCAGGTCAATATCAGGTCAATATCAGGTCAATATCAGGTCAATATCAGGTCAATATCAGGTCAATATCAGGTCAATATCAGGTCAATATCAGGTCAATATCAGGTCAATATCAGGTCAATATCAGGTCAATATCAGGTCAATATCAGGTCAATATCAGGTCAATATCAGGTCAATATCAGGTCAATATCAGGTCAATATCAGGTCAATATCAGGTCAATATCAGGTCAATATCAGGTCAATATCAGGTCAATATCAGGTCAATATCAGGTCAATATCAGGTCAATATCAGGTCAATATCAGGTCAATATCAGGTCAATATCAGGTCAATATCAGGTCAATATCAGGTCAATATCAGGTCAATATCAGGTCAATATCAGGTCAATATCAGGTCAATATCAGGTCAATATCAGGTCAATATCAGGTCAATATCAGGTCAATATCAGGTCAATATCAGGTCAATATCAGGTCAATATCAGGTCAATATCAGGTCAATATCAGGTCAATATCAGGTCAATATCAGGTCAATATCAGGTCAATATCAGGTCAATATCAGGTCAATATCAGGTCAATATCAGGTCANCAAACATGAAGTTTAGATAAGGATGATTTACAAGTAAAATAGCAGGGCCCGGACCGGGTGAACAAGTAAACAATTAAGTTATTAATTTCCTCAAATTAATCTTATTAACTAACCCCCTCTTTTCTATAAGAAGAGCACCTAGTCAACCTAAAGGGTTACCCACAAAGGATTAGACTTCAGAGACAACTGTACATAATTAACACTGTCGGTCACATCAGATTCATAATTCCCTGAAACTGGAAGTTTTCTCTCTTTCTTTTTCAAGGCATTAAAAGACTATATTTAAGGCAGTAAATTAATTTAACCTTGAAATCGTCATAATATTAAAGTTTAAAGTCGTCTTCACATTCTCATAGTATTCGTTTTTGGGTAACCCTGTATATTAGATGCAGAAGTAAATAGTGAGTAATTTATTTATAAAACTTAAGCAGTGGAATAATTGTCATCTCTTTTCTTTAAAGCGTAGAACGTAGCTTAAAAGTTTACAATTTGTAACTTATTCATAAGGGTACCGTTGTGAATCGTAAATTGCAATCTTTGCATAAAGAGCCTCTTGAAATTACGATTTTATTCCCTCCAAAAGAAACTAAAAGTCAATTATTTCATATATTTGGTATCCTATACTCAAAATTCTGTCCAATATATCTGTAACAAGATTGTTTTATATTTGGTATCCTGTACTTAAATTTCTGTCCAATATATCTGTAACAGAATTGTTTTATATTTGGTATCCTATACTCAAAATTCTGTCCAATATATCTGTAACAAGATTGTTTTATATTTGGTATCCTGTACTTAAATTTCTGTCCAATATATCTGTAACAGAATTGTTTTATACTTGGTATCCTGTACTTAAATTTCTGTCCAATATATCTGTAACAAAATTGTTTTATATTTGGTATCCTGTATTTAAATTTCTGTCCAATATATCTGTAACAAAATTGTTTTATACTTGGTATCCTGTACTCACAATTCTATCCAATATATCTGTAACAAAAATGTTTTATATTTGGTATCCTGTACTCACAATTCTATCCAATATATCTGTAACAAAAATGTTTTATATTTGGTATCCTATTCTCAAAATTTTGTCCAATATATCTGTAACAAAATTGTTTTATATTTGGTATCCTGTACTCACAATTCTATCCAATATATCTGTAACAAAAATGTTTTATATTTGGTATCCTGTACTCAAAATTTGTTCAATATATATCAATGTAAAAAAAATGTTTTATATTTGGAATCCTGTATTCAATTTTGTCCAGTATATTTGTAACAAAAATGTTTTATATTTGGTATCCTGTACTCAAAATTCTTTCCAATATGTCTGTAACAAAAATGTTTTATATTTGGTATCCTGTACCAAAATTCTGTCTAATATACTTGTAACAAAAATGTTTTATATTTGGTATCCTGTACTCAAAACTCTGTCCAATATATCTGTAACAAAAATGTTTTATATTTGGTATCCTGAACTTAAATTTTGTCCAATATATCTGTAAAAAAAATGTTTTATATTTGGTATCCTGAACTTAAATTTTGTCCAATATATCTGTTACAAAAATATTTTATATTTGGTATCCTATTCTCAAAATTCTGTCCAATATATCTGTAACAAAAATATATTTGGTATCCTGTACTCACAATTCTATCCAATATATCTGTAACAAAAATGTTTTATATTTGGTATCCTATTCTCAAAATTCTGTCCAATATATATGTAACAAAAAAGTTTTATATTTGGAATCCTGTACTTAAATTTCTGTCCAATATATCTGTAACAAAATTGTTTTATATTTGGTATCCTGTACTCAAAATTCTGTCCAATAAATTTGTAAAAAATTGTTTTATATTTGGTATCCTGTACTTAAATTTTGTCCAATATATCTGTAACAAAAATGTTTTATAATTGGTATCCTGAAGTTAAATTTTGTCCAATATATCTGTAACAAAAATGTTTTATATTTGGTATCCTATTCTCAAAATTCTGTCCAATATATCTGTAACAAAAATATTTTATATTTGGTATCCTATTCTCAAAATTCTGTCCAATATATCTGTAACAAAAATGTTTATATTTTCAAATTTCAGTTATGTTCATCAAGGAAGTATCCTGGAGTGTTCAGATCAAGTGTTTGAAAGGAAAACTAAAAGATTTTATTTTTCAAATTTATTTCTTAGCTCTTATAACTATTTTTCTAAACATAAACTTTAATTTTGGATCCTTCTTGAGTGAATCTTGATATCCATATAGGGCATTTTTAAATTTGAGAATAAATGCTTGATCTCTCAATTAGAATTATCTCTGCAGGGTATGATTAACACCGGATATCAAAGAGGAATTAAATTAATCAAAATAATTAGTTTTATTTTAGTTGGTGTTCTGAAATACTTTCTCGCCCTTAAAAAAATAACAAAAGGTCTTTTGCTCGTTTTCTACCATATAAAAAGCAAGCAAAAGGAATTTTGCTCGTTTTCTACCTTATAAAAAGCGAGCAAAAGACCTTTTTCTCGTTTTCTGCCTTATGAAAAGCGAGCAAAAGGCCTTTTTCTCATTTTCTGTCTTATAAAAAGCAAGCAAAAAGGTTTTTGCTCGTGTTCTGCCTTATAAAAAGAGAGCATAACCCGACCTAGGGATCTGGGAGTATTCTAGTCCTAGAAACCAATAATTTTGAAATTCCTTGTTATAGAAATCGCCATGTAATGCTTGTTCTAAGACTTTTCTCTTTTTTACTTTTAGCTATTTATGATTTTATTTATGTCTGCATTTAATTGTTATCATTTTTCATTATATCATTAAAAGGCAGAAAATGAGCAAAAGTTCTATTACTCACTTTTTATAAGGCAGAAACCGAGCAAAGGCCTTTTGCTCGCTTTTTATAAGGCAGAACACGAGCCAAAGATCTTTTGCTCGCTTTTTATAAAGCAGAAAACGAGCTAAAGGCCTTTTGCTCGTTTTAAAGGGCGAGAAAGTGTTAGAGTTCCCCAAGGATGTAATGCACGGACAGTTATTTCAGAAGTGTACGCATCTTTTGTAATGTAGTGTACTGTCTCTGGGCGTTAATGTAAACACAAGACGAATGTCGAAGCCTGACATGGGATCAATCTTTCACATAAAAAAATCAATGAAATATTCTGGCCATAGGAAACTATTATGTGAATTATCAAAATTATCAATTTAAGGCTTTTAACCTCCTCGGATACTATACGAACACTAATGCATCTATTCTTGTTTACAAATTCCGCCCAGATAGAACTGGTTTCAATATGTACACAGAGTATACACAACCGCAATTGATTTTCCTTGCATTACACCCTTGGAGTTCCCCAACTTTATTATTATATAAAATGGTTTGAAAAACCAGGAGCTATCAGATAAATGTGAGGAGTATGTTCTGGATGTGTCAAACCTTTATTCCTCAGGAAAGTATTTTAATTGCATTTAAAGACTTTAAATTTTTAATGTCTAAGAAAAGTTTTTGACAATTTTGATTTAATGGCAATTTTAAATAAAAACTAGATGGAGGATGGCGGTTCAATAATTAATATGTCATCAGTTGCATCATCTGTAAAGGGGGCACCAAACAGGTACAGGTACAGGTAATATTTTTAATAGATATAATTGATAATATTATTTATAAGTCCGTATTACGTCACCAGAACTCCCACCAATGGAAGTGCAGTATAGTGGTCACGTGTCTCTGTCTGTATCATGTGACCAGTATATAATTGCTAAACATGATCTGTTTTAATCTACTATTTCTATACGAAATTGTATAAATGAATTTTTGTATAAATTTTAAACAGTTTTATATCAATTTCTCGGGACAGGAACATCTGATACAACATTCTTGGGTCGCGATCAAGAGCTAAAGTGATTAGCTTTCAGCCTATACCCCCTTTCATTTTTCCTATACAGTCCCTTTAAAAATGAGTTTAAAATCCGTTTAAGGTACCGTTGAAACTCCTTCTTGGGAGGCTAGAGTTCAGGAAAGCAGTAACCCAGATCAAGCTAGACTTGACTTCATTGCAAGGTTATTTATTAGTACTTTTCATTGCAAGTTTATTAAAAAACTAATTCATTGGAAGATTCCAAGATTATTATTTAGAACTTTAAATTTTTAGGTTTTGTATTTTTCAATGTAAAGTTAATATTTTAGTATATTTTATTGCAAGGATATTATTACAGTATTTTTCATTGCAAGGGTATTATTCTCGTATTTTTCATTGCAAGGTTTTTAAGCTAGTATTTTTCATTGCAAGGTTATTAAACTAGTATTTTTCATTATTATTATTTTAGTATTTTTTATTACAAGGTTATTATTTTAGTATTTTTTATAGCAAGGTTATTATTTTAGTATATTTCATAGCTAGGTTATAATTATAGCTTTTGTCATTTCAAGGTGTGTACAGTTATTGTAAAATGTTAAACATTATAATATTTCAATCCAAAGTCAGTTATTTTAATATTTTTCATTTTGTAATTCTTTTCATTGCCAGGTTTAGTAACATTTTCATTGCAGGGTTTTTATTTCAATACTTTTCATTCCAAGGTCAGTTTTGAAATACTTTTCATTGCAAGGTTTTCATTTTAATACTTTTCATTGCAAGGTCAGTTTGTAATACTTTTCATTGCAGGTTTTAGTAATATTTTTGTGCAAGGTTCTCATTTCAACACTTTCCATTGCAAGGTTTTCATTTTTGTACTTTTCATTGCAAGGTCAGTATTAGTACTTTTCTTTTGGTTTTCTTTTGGTTGGTTTTAAATAGTTTTATATATAAAAGTAAATATATTTTCAGGCAAAAGATGGGAAGACTCGGGACTCCTGGAGAAATAGCAAACTTGATAGTTTACCTAGCTTCAGACGAGGTAACCAAAAAGTTTAGAATTGTTTCTTTGACTTTAATTAAGTTTTGTAAGTTTAAAGATTGTTTATTAATAAAACATAACGCAATTGAAATCTAATTGAAGAAACCAAGTCCAGGATAATAGGAACCCAAATATTTTGGAAAAGCATTTTTGGGGCATTGTATGATGTGTTACCCTGTATTCTTTATCACACTAAATAATTTTGAACACACACTAATGTGAACCAACTTTTATTTTAAGATACACTGTATCAGTTGCAATCTTGTTTTTCGAGATACACTGTATTGTAGACCTCCATGTATTTTGAGAACCACTGTATTGTGGACAGCCATGAATTTTGAGACACCGTGTATTGAGGTGGACAACCGTGGTTTTTTTTAAGATATCCTGTAAATTTCGGGTGTCTTTTGAAATACCCTATATTGTATACAAACATATATTTTGAGACACCATGTATTGTGGACAACTATGTATTATGAGATACCATGTATTGTGAACAACCATGTATTTTGAGATATTATGCATTGTGAACGATCATGTATTTTGAGATACCATGTATTGCGAACGACCATGTATTTCGAGATACTTTGAATTGTAGACCACCATGAATTTTGAGATACTATGTATTGTGAACGATCATCTATTTTGAGATACTTTGCATTGTAGACCACCATGTATTTTGAGATACTTTGAATTGTAGACCACCATGTATTTTGAGATACTATGTATTGTGAGCGATCATGTATTTTGAGATACTTTGCATTTTAGACCACCATGTATTTTGAGATACCATGTATTTTGAGATACCATGTATTGTGAACAGCCATGTATTTTGAGATACCATGTATTGTGAACGATCATGTATTTTGAGATACTTTGAATTGTAGAACACCATGTATTTTGAGATACTATGTATTGTGAACAACCGTGTATTTTGAGATACTATGCATTGTGAAAGATCATCTATTTTGAGATACTTTGCATTGTAGACCACCATGTATTTTGAGATACTTTGCATTGTAGACCACCATGTATTTTGAGATACCATGTATTGTGAACAACCATGTATTTTGAGATACCATGTATTGTGAACGCCCATGTATTTTTAGATACTATTGTATTGTGAACAACCATGTATTATGAGATACTTTGCATTGTAGACATGTATTTTGAGATACCATGTATTGTGAACAACCATGTATTTTGAGATACCATGTATTGCGAACGACCATGTATTTCGATATACTTTGTATTGTAGACCACCATGTATTTTGAGACACCCTATATTGTGAACGATCATGTATTTTGAGATACCCTATATTGTGAACGATCATGTATTTTGAGATACCATGTATTGTAGACCACCACGTATTTCGAGACACCATGTATTGTGAACAACCATGTATTTTGAGATACTTTACATTGTAGAACGCCATGTATTTTGAGATACTTTGTATTGTGAACGCCCATGTATTTTGAGATACTTTGCATTGTAGACCAGGATATGTTTTTGGATTCCCTGTAATTAATGTAAATGGGAGAAAACAAAATAGAAAAAGAGAATGATTTGAAGATTCCCGTCGGAATACTAGATTTTCCAATCCCAAATTTATACAGTGAACAAACTTGGCATTTGTAAACTAGTTGAATCCAGATTATACATCTCTCTCTCTCTTTACAGTTTCAGACATTTTTAATCGTCTCATTCTTGATTATTTTGTTGCCCGGATTCATATTTAAAGAGACTGTCATCGTAATTTCAAGTAAACCTCCATTAAAAAAAAAAAAAACATGCCCGCCTCCCAACGGTATCTATTAAACCAATGATTGATCACCGAGGACAGAGAATTCCGCGAATTTATCTCTAAAATGGTGTCATAGATTAAAACTTTCAAAAAGGAGTGTACGCTAGTGTTCAGTATGAACTCAACATAAAAGAATTCGAAAGTAAACATTTATTTTCTGCCATTTCTAGAAATATAAAACAAATTCAACCATTACAAGCGTTTCTGTAAATAAAATAAGATATGTCAGTCATCCTTAATCAGTCAAAAGTTTCAAGGGAGTGACATGTAAGGTAATTGAAAACTACCTTACATAGCCGGTCACTCCCTTTATGGGTACTGTTGAGAATCGAACACGCCGTGTCGCCACTCTACAACTTTGAAATGACGCTTCAGTTCCTTTAACAGATATTCATTCAAGTTTATAGTTTGCAAAACTTGCAAAATCACGGGCAGTAGTAGTACATTTGAATTTCCGAGCTGGGTCAACCTTTACGGTGCCAGTTTGTACTGTATCGCCCGGACATTGGGTAAATAAAGCAGACACTCTTAATAGGACTAGCCGGTGCAACAAGGTTGACGCGGTCAGACTTTAGGTTGAATTTGCATATTTTCGTCCATGACTTACGTGGAAGATATCGTCGTTTGTATCTTCAAATGTGTTTGATTATATATTGTTCATGTTACAAAAATTCGTAGGAGACCACAAATAAAAATTAATCAAATTTTATGGTAAAAAAAATTGATATATCTTGATTCTTGATCACACAAAGCTTTAAAGGGTATCGTTGTAATCGGATAAGCCACTAGCTCTGTAAATGGAGCATCTCTTGAAATAACTTTAATTACAAAACTGGGTATTGTAAATTGTCTTTCAATTTTTGGCAAAGCAAATGTTTTAGAGGCTTCATTTGTCATTCGCCTCTGCAGACCATAAAGTTTCTTTTATTGACATTAAAAGAGAAGCTGGATCATATTTTAAAAAGTGATTTTTTATCATATTTATATTTTTTTTATATTTTTTGTTTAGTCTGCCTACACCACTGGGACAACTCAGATTATTGACGGGGGATGGAGTATTTAAAAAGATGGAAACCTATAGAGAAGAAAATTATAAATTTCTGTTTTTAGAGTCCGGAACTTTTGTATGGAATATAGTTAATTTTAAATGTATAATCTCAATATCCAATGTGTGCACTTATGAATTTAAAGTCAAATGATTATATCTTCAATTAAAGTTATCCCTGTAGGGTATGACAACCACGGGATATTAAATTAATCCGTTTGTCTGCATAATATCCCATGGTTCACTGTATACAAAAGTTCTGACTGAGATTTTCTGAAGTTAAAAACAACATTATTGTCATATTTTGTCCTTGTTGTTATCTATGTTAGACAATAAAATAAAAGTTCTGAATTGTAAAATATTTGGAATCATGTTGATATTAAAGATTATAATATTATAATATAGAATTGCATTTCATACATCATTTACTTACATTTCAAATTGTTACATTGCACCTAGTTACAATGCATAAAGTTACATTTAGGGTTGTTAATCGTTTTTACAAAAAGATCAATAATGTTATCATTTTTCGTTTCGATTTTAATTGTTTTTTTTTTAAAAACGATCGTTTCATTTTTAGAAAAAACCATCGTTTTTGAAAAAGAACCACTCATTTTGAACCTTAAGAAGTTTGATCGTTTTTTTTTAACAATAGTTTTTGAAAAAAATTCGCTAATGATTTAAGGATTTTCCGACCAAAAAATTAATTTTGTCTTCAAAAGATCGTTAACGATCGTTAAAGGGAGTGTTCGCGAAAAATGAAAAGAGCTACGTCAAAAAATATTCGATGGTGATTGCTGTTGCGTGTTTAAGGAGAAAATTGTTAAAAAATGACTCATATCGAAGAACGTAGAGTCCATACAAATTCAGATTGATGCAATATTCGACTCGGATCGTAAAAAAATCAATTCAATTCCAAACAAATCAATCATATGTAACAACCTATAATCATCAATTTGTTTTTGACTCATTCGTATGTAGGTTGATATTTCATAATAGTTTAGTTTTTTTTAATCGTTATTTTGAGTGCATCCAATAAGAAAAAGTCTAATAACAAAACACCCAAAATTACACATCACCCAAAAACAAAACGACCAATGTTACAAATCGTCCAAAAACAAAACACTCAAATAAATAAACACCCAAGATATCAAAAAGCCCAAAGAAATTGAGTTTTTGCCACAAACTCTGATTGTCTAATCCCTATATCTTTGCAGCCTTAAAGCGCAGAGGTTAGATATTAAAACTATACATTCTGTTAGATCAAGAAGTCTAATTTTGAAATGTCAAAGAGTTAAAGCATGGCGTTGCCAAAATATTTGGATTATAAATTTAAATTTGTGCCAAAAACTCAAAATGTCCTAAGTTACAAAATGTCCTAAGTTACAAAATGTCCAAATTACAAAATGACAAAATTACAAAATGTCCAAAATTACAAAATGTCCAAGGTTATAAAATATCCAAAGTTAAAACTTTAATTCTTTTGTAGTATTTTTATGTTCATTTAACCTGGTCTATAACAGAATTGTTAAAAATCATTACTTACAAACTAACTACTAAGTTACAAAATGTCCAGAGATATAAAATGTCCAAAGTTACAAAATGTCCAAAGTTACAAAATGTTCAAAGTTACAAAATGTACAAAGTTACAAAATGTCCAAAATTACAAAGTGTTCAAATGTCCAAAATTGACAATTTACATTGTCTAAAAATGTCTTGCATTGATTAATAAATGCAGTATATAACATTTTGTATCTTAGTATCTTAGGTATCTTAGTAACTTGCATACTAAGTGTAGTATCTTAGTATGCAGGGATTTTTAATCTTTTTTGTTTAAAAATAAAAAATACTAGTTTTTAAGTTGTAATGAAACATTTCATCATTTTGACATTTTTATAAAATTTTGAACATTTTGTAATTTTGGACATTTGGACATTTTGTAATTTTGGACATTCTGTAAATTTGGACATTTTGTACTTTTGGACATTTTTATCTTTGGACATCTTGTAACTTTGAATATTTTGTTATTTGGGATTTTTGTTGCTTTGGACATTTTGTAACTTTGGACATTTTGAAATCTTGAGTGTTTTGTTTTGGGTGTTTTGTTATTGGAAATTTTGTTCTTGTGCGTTTTGCATCCACTCCTATTACTTCGCTTCATACTTTTTAGGATGGCTGACGCTTGATTTTTGAACATTGCTGGAGAATATGAAAATGTCGTCTTCATAATCAAAAATTCTCGAAACAGGAATGAATGTTCTCAAAACTCTTGGATCATAAAAAATAAAATAATATGAAATATCAACTTTATACGAATGTGTCAAAAAGAATCGATGATTATTGGTTGTAATATCCGACTTGTTAGCGTCTAGTGAAGAACCAGTCAGGACGTCCTAAAGATGTTCGAGAGGACGCCCTCTGGACGTCCTATTTACGAATGCGTCAAAAAGAATCAATGATTTTAGGTCTATGACTATGAAGAACCAGTCAGAAAGTCCTCAACAATTTTTTGAGGATTCCCTCATGACGTCCTCTGTAAGTAAATATAAGACCAATGCAGAGGGGGCCGGGTGGGAGGGGCTGGGGCCGGATCAAAGTACTTATTTCTGTGTTGAGTTATAGAATTATCAAACGCGCGTAAATTAGTTCCATTGACTGGCGTCGATCTTATTTTTTAGCGCGTTTGAGAGGTTTTCTTCAGTCATTGGCAAGGCTCGACTTAAACGGGAGCATCTGAAGGTTTTTAGAATGAGCGGAACTAACAACAACAACAACAAGATGTCTCATCTTGAACAGTTTGTAATGAATGAAGAACTGGAACCTTTAACTGGTACTGCAAAGTTCAGGTTTGTATAGCGCACTGTGATCTACACACTTTGCACAGCAAGCACTGTACCTTGCACATTTTACACTGCAAATACTTTGCGAAATAATTAAACTTTGTAACCTCGTAGCTCCTCTAGTTTTGATTTTGCAAACAAGTATGGAAAAGGGAAATGAGTTTTAAAGATCCATAAACAAAATTGATAAGGGGGGTCCAAAAATCGTTCTCTAGGAAATTACCTAAATATTTCTCATATATACAATATACAACATACATATATATAAATATACAATATGCATGTGTGCTTAAAGTGTTGAAATTGTTTTATAAATAAAACTTTTCTGTTGAATAATGGATTCGTCCTTTTTACAGAAACTGGTGCAAAGTTTTTATTGAGAAATTGGGTTCTATAGTTCTATAGTTCACGTTAGAGCCTTACACAAATTTAAATGTTATTTCAAAGGTTTTAGAACTTTCTTAAACACAGTGTTAAAAACAAAGTAAAAATAAGTTTAAAGTATTCAAGATGAAATGAGCATAAATCATGAAGATTTGTGCTTAAGTAATTTAAATATGAAAAAAATATCTTTGTTTTTAAAATTAGATTTTTGTAACAGAAATAAAAACAATATATAACAGGGGGTCGCATAACTCCGCATAAACGTATCATGATCTTTTTGCTTCAGAATTATGTTATGTTAAAAAGTGAATGTTAGCGTTCAATTCGGGGATTTATATTGAATTCGACAGTTATAACTTGTAATATCTAAATGATTAGTTCAAATTTACTTGAATTATCAACGGACTCGGTTAAATAAATGCAACTCCGTGTTTGGGTCCTACCATTGTTCAGTATAATGAGTCGTTTTTAACCATTTTCTTCTTATAGATGCAAAACAAATAGAAGTAAAATTAGAAGCTGTCGATATTAAATTAAAATCGGGATCAGCCCAAGGTTGTAATGCAAGAAAAGTTATTTCTGAGGTGTACGCATCTTTTGTACTGCAGTGTACTGTCTCTGGGCGGTAATGTAAACACAAGACGGATGTCAAAGCCGGACATAGGATCCATCTTTCACATAAAAAATCAATGAAATATTCTGGTCATAGGAAACTCTAATTATGTGAATTATCAAAATTATCAAAATTACATGTTTTTAACCTCCTCGGATACTAACAAAACACTGATGCATTTATTCTTGTTTACAAATTCCACCCAGAGAGAACTGGTTTTAATATGTACGCAGAGTATACGCAACTGCAATTAACTATTACAACCTTGGATCAACCTATAACCCCTTTCATACACTCCCGTTAATAGAAAAAGTGTACAGAACAGGAGGTGGGGAAGGGGAACGGATGAAGAAGGAAAGTACTTTTGAAAACTGGAAAAATTTACTTTATTTTTCAAGATTGACCTTTTACATTTGTAAACAATTAAGAAATGCAATTGCAGTTTTCGTATTTTTTAACGAAATTAAAAAAACAAACATGTGTTCTCATAGAGAGCTTTATAACTAGGTATGGGGTCAAATATCATAATAGGACAAATATTTAAAGTTATCTTAAATATCTTGAAAAAAATTTGTCTTTTTTTTGGTCTGTTAATGCTTATATGTTCTGCAATAATGATGATTATGTAATTTTGTTATTGTGAACAAATTGTATGGTTCACTATGAATTATTCAAAAATATAATATAAAAATATATAAAAAATATAGTACCCCGATTTTTTAAAGTAGATACTTAACTGTGCATATCGTTACTTCTCAAAGGATGTAAGTCGATTCAACAAACTTAAATTTTCTAATCTCTATATCTTTTTAATCTGGTGGTTTAAACCTTTGGTACTTAAAACTTGGATCATCTTATGATCTAACATAATCCATAGTTTGAAGTATCTAAGGTCTACGTCATTGGTTTTCAAAGATATAGAAATCATAAAATCAGAGATTGTGAAAAAAGATTAAATTTCTTTGTACTTTTGCATTCAAAGTAATAACAACAAGAAAAATAAAGTTGATAAAGTTAACAAAATTAGCCATGAAAATTTTTTTGTAGTTTTAAAGCAAGCTTACAGCAAACACCGGTGTTCCAGCGGGGTGTGAGTAATTCACGAAAAAAATTTAAATGTTATTTCTTATATTCATCAAATTCTCAATTAAAGATAATATTTTGACTTGCAATATATGTTTCTGAAGAGTGGTCAGGTAAGGTGCAGGGGAAAATTATCCAATAGTAAACA